AATCTCGATGATGTCCGCATCACTTAACTTGTCAATATTTAGAGAGAATTGACACTTAGCTTGAGAGCAGCAATTGAAACAATCCTCTTTCATTGCAGTTTTACCTAATTATTGTTTTCTATCTTCTCTGTTCCCATAGCTTACTAGAACTGAATCTTCACTTTTAGTGCAGTTTTGGAGTATTTGTTCTTTTGTTTGTTTTTGTTCACCTTATATAGTTTTATTAGTGGAGACAAGTGCTACATTTGGACTGCTCATGATTTGTCTTTTGATATTATAAGTGGATGGGTTGTCTCTTTCTGCATGTATATTTGTATTTATATTTTTCATCTTGTGGGCAATGCTCTTCTTTTAATTGCTTATTTGCTTCTATGCAGAATCCAGTTTCTAGATGGCACATTTGCGAAGGTTCAATTAATAGCATAGCTTTCTCTTCTGATGGGGTCTATGTAGCAACTGTTGGAAGGGATGGTATTGTCATCATCTGTTGTCTTTTGTATCTCTCTGGATTTTGACTTGTTAATTATGCCCTCCACCCGCACACACGAGAAAACGACAAGGCAACATTTTTTAATCCATCTTCATCTATTATTTATGGGATGAGAAAAATTGATAAATGTAGGTTACCTGCGAGTTTTTGACTACAAAAACGAACAGCTTATATGTGGTGGAAAGAGCTATTATGGTGCACTATTGTGTTGTGCTTGGAGGTGAGCTAGTTTTATTTACTGTCCAAAAGAGTTGTATGTGCTGTTAACTAATGCTTTCTATTTGTGTTTTATGATGTTCGGTCTTGAAAATATATTTTCTTTTAGTATATTATTGATATTCGTGTTATAAGAATGGAGTAACTGAAACAACAGCATTGATGGAAAATACATTCTCACTGGCGGCGAGGATGACCTAGTTCAAGTTTGGAGTATGGAAGATCGAAAGGTTGTAGCATGGGGTGAGGGACACAGCTCATGGGTAAGTTTCTAGCAATTACAACCCGTGTTTCATTGACTCTTCTGAAGGCGTTGAAGTACTCATGCTGAACGCTTGAGATTCCAGGGAGGGGCATTTGTTCAATAATTTTCATTTTTCATACACATCTCAGCTTATAAAAGTTTGATTTCTTCTGTAAGTATTTTAAAGAAAGTTGATTTCCCAGTTTGAACACCTTACCTTCATCAACATTTTACATAAAAATAAGGTTTCAGAAAAAAGAAATAAATAAATTCTGCATCCACATATCTTCGTTGTAGAGGTTTGATGAATTTGACATCTGTGACACATGCCTACAAGCGATGCCTCATACCTGAGTCCAAGTAAAATAGACTATTAGTGAAACAAGAGCTTTGCATTTAACAATTATTATTACACACTCATCTTGTTCTGGAGGATGGCAGGTTAGTGGAGTGGCATTCGATTCATATTGGTCTGCACCAAATTCAGATGGCGTTGTGGAGAATGTCGTATACCGTTTTGGTTCTGTTGGTCAGGTATCCAAAAACGATTATTGATCCACTAAGTAGTTTTGGTTGTTTTTGGAATAATTTTATAGTTCATTTCCCATGCTTGTAGTGATTCTTGACTTTATGGTTTCTTCTTTCTGCTCCATAATAAACATTCAACCAGCAAGAACTTTCCCCTGTACTTTTTTCCCCAGCCAAGTTCTGGAACCATAAAGACTGCTGGAACCCTTTAAACTAAATTGTGCTACTTGTCTAGTCAATTGTGCCTTCTGTTTCAGAATACATTCTTGATTTGATCCTTCATGCTGTAATTTTTGCTGTTAAAACTCTGAACATAATATTATTGAGACAGACACGTATGGGAACAATAGAATTTGTACAATTTTTCGGTATAAGAATTACAAATAGAATGACCCCCCTATTTATAGGTTACAAATAATCCATGAAAAAAAAAAAGAATCTGCCCTAAAACCCTCTCAAACTCAATATGGTGTTGTACTAACCAAATTGAGTTCGTAATTGCCATTAACAACTCAAAAACGCATACTAATAATCTCTCTGAAATAGGATTGTGTATATAGATTTCACTTTTGTATTCCACGAGGCTGTTTTAAAGCGGAATTTATGCAAGCACATTCGACATTTCCTTCACNAAACAAATTAGCAAATTAACTGATTTAGTATTTAATGTTTTAACTTTCAAGCCAAGTCCATGTCTAGCTAGCCCAACCCAACCCAACCTAACCTAACCTAACCTAACCTAATTTTTAAATTCAATTTTTTGATTTAATTTTTTGGTCCTATTATTAATTTCATTCTTAACCCATGATCTAGTTCTTTTTAAGTTTTTATCTTTCTCTTTCCAATTTCACACTTTCATTCAGCAATCACTGAGTCAATGACCCCAAATCATTTCATAAATTGAAAACTTATATCAACATGCCCAAATCGAAATCTCCGACTGCCGAGTCCGACTTCCCCTCTCCAATGCCCATCGAAGCCGCGACCTCCAACCACTACCACCGATCGTTGACCATTAAAAATCTGTTAAAAAATTTAATTATGGCATGGAACCGAACAGAACCGAACCCGAACGGTTCCAAAATTATATTTGGAACCGACGGTTCCATTTACTAAATACCCGAAAATTTTTGGAACCAAAAAAAAGGAACTAAACCGAACCGACCCGCGCCCACCCCTATCCGNGCCCATCGAAGCCGCGCCCTCCAACCACTACCACCGATCGTTGACCATTAAAAATCTGTTAAAAAATTTAATTATGGCATGGAACCGAACAGAACCGAACCCGAACGGTTCCATAATTATATTTGGACCTGACGGTTTTATTTATTAAATACCCGAAAATTTTAGTTCAGTTCGGTTCTCTTCCGAACCGGACCATGTCTAGCCATAATGGGGCAATGTTTGTGAGAGCTTGTGTAAAGCATTTCTAAATTGATGTCGATAGAGTATTTAATGCTGACAAATACTTAGCTTATTTGCATTTTATTACCTTAAACCAATTAGTCTGCGCTTCCTATATATATTTTGATGATTATGTGCAGGACACACAATTGCTTCTATGGGATCTTGTAATGGATGAGCTTGTTGTGCCAGTGCGCCGCCCCTCAGGTGGATCTCCGACTTTTAGTACTGGAAGTCAGTCGACTCATTGGGACAGTGGTTTCCCTGTTGGTACATTGCAGCCTGCTCCGGGCATGAGAGATGTTCCAAAGCTCTCCCCAATAGTTGTTCATCGTGTTCATACTGAACCTCTCTCAGGTTTGGCTCTCACTCAAGAATCCATTCTCACAGTTGGCCGAGAGGGCCATATAAAAATTTGGATGAGACCGTGTTTTGCTGAAAACCAACAAGTTCGAAGGAAAAACCATCATTAACCGCAGTTCTACTTAAAGTGCAAAAATAAGCTTTCGTTAGTGGAGTTGGATGATCGGTGGTACTGTCGCCGTTCACACATCTTCGCAACGTTTCTTCAATGCAACAGCATATGATGTAACTTACATGCTGTGAGATTATTTTATAGCCAGGATAGAAAACGCCATAGAACTGCAGTGATAAAGAATGTGCAACCTCTTTGTATGTACGAGAGATCTGTCAAAAGAACATTTAATGACAAGGTTCAGAAATAATGTAGTTGCTCTTCAAAAAAATTCATTTTTTCTCCTCCTGGCAGTCTGTTTTACATTGTAACATAAGACTATTTTGCCACTTAACTCGAATGTTTGCCCCTTAGGATACAGAGAAGATTAGCATGGCTCCTTTAGTCCAATGTTTATGAACCTAGGCATCTAGATATTAATCTATGTTAAAATCAACAATTAATTTTAACTACATATTTTATGAGATTCACAGTTTTTCAAGCGTATTTCATGAACCTTTATCAAAATTTGTTAAAACTCTGGTTTTAGTCTTGGTGCATGTTTTTGTACTCGAAAGTTCGAAATCGACCTATGGTTGTTAAATTTCCAATAATGAAACCTGGCAATCATGGCGTTCTACTTTCACCGAGGGACCCAATTCCAAGAACGTCCATTACTTTATAACACATGGTTTGTTCGATAAAATAGACCTTCTCCAATTTGTTTCACTACCTTTATGCAGTCATCCAAATTTAGGCAATAAAACAAACTTAAAGAAGGTCGAACAGTAGTATTATAAGAACATCGTAGGCTGTTTTAAGACAACCTCAGATACCTTAATGATAGTCTATTCAAGAGAAGAGGTATGATCAAAACTGCATTAACTTCAGTAAATAACAAATGTTAATGCAGTTTTTAAGTATTTGTAATCTTAATCAGTAACATTCAATTTGCTTAGAATATGTACTAAAAGGATGAACCGCATCCTTAGCGGCCCCCACCTGCCTTGGTGAAGGAGGTAAATCGCAAGTTATGCCTCCAAGGGTATAGGATAGAAGGCTGCTTGTACACTTGCACTTACCCAAGAGCCAAATCCATAGTTCCGGATTCGAACCCTTGACGCGGCAGCCTCGAGCAAAGCTGGAATTCTTCCACCTTCACCTTTTACCACTTGGAGATGTGCCCTGGGGGCAATGAGCAATAAATAAATGCTTAGAATATGTACTAAATCCTAGACTCAGGTGGACTAATTTACTAAATGTTCCAATTTCAAATTTTCTTGTATTCTCTTACAATGAACTGAAAGTTGCCACTCAGGGATTGAAACATAAGATTGGGAATTAATCTATTTGAACCAAGATTGTTGCCAAAGATAGTTGACAAAATTAGGTGTACGGTTTGGATGAATTTTAA